TCTTGACTCAACTCTCGTCAGAGTTAACCAATAAAGATAAAATGAAATACTAATGATAGTCAAATTGATAGGTGTTCAGAAAAGGCACTGAATATCTTGGGGCTTTCTTGGCAGCGCGCTCGTATGAAGGTTTTAGACCTCCGAATTAAGTGAGCTCCGCAAGTAATTGCACATTCCATCGCTTGCAAATGCTGATAGAATCCCGAATGAAGGTAGAACGTCTGGCGCATCCTCAAGGGGACTGATTATCGTGAACAGTTAACTATTCAGCAGCCAGTGGAACATAGATCTCGTAATTTTACCTTGAATGCGCAGTGCGCGGTATTCATGCGAGAATTACTGTAGTGTAGTCAATTGTAATTTAAACTATAGGAACGATTTCTAAGCCCGGGCCTAATTCCTCGCTGTTCTCCCTACGAAATCGGTGCCGGCGGTGTGAGAGTCATAAGTGAGCAAACATTAGGAAAGATGGACTGAACAGAAATTAGCATAGTCAATAGTAGACGTCACCGAAGGTCAACAATACTCGAGTAGACAGACTAGCACATTATACCCTTCGCAGTGGAATTGCAAAAAACTGATAGTAAGTAAATTTGCTAAATTGCCGGTCAGTTCAGAAAAGCTGGAACAGTTGGCGGTAAAAGCGATGGGAACCATCACCTCTGCGGTAGCCGCTAAGTTACCCTGTGGAGTCCCAGAAAGCGCCAAATCTGAACAGAATGCGAGACTCGGTTTCTTTTTTGATAGTCGGCATGGATTCGGTGGACCTGTAGAATGTCCCAAAGTTTTCATATACCAGTTCCATCGAAGTCCATGATTATGCAGAACTATTCACGTGCATGGCGCAACCGGCAACGAATGGCAAAATCTTGAAATTCTTCGTTTTTCTTATTCATCTGAATTCTGTGCTTTTTTCAATCTTACTTTCAATGAGAAACAAGAATGCTCAAAATCTTAACACGAAGAAAAACAAGGCTAACTCATTTCCAGATCGACCCGTGGCGCTTCTAAGCAGCGTCGAGACCAGATCAATGTCGAAATCCAACGGCTTCGAGATCTTTTGCCGTTGTCGGAGTCGATCAAAGACCGGCTGTTTCAGCTTCCAAGTCATGTCACTGGGCTGTATCTTTATCCGGAAGCATCGCTATCAAAAGCACAGTAAGTTCTCTACACAGTAATAAACCCTTTGTTTATTCTGCTGACAAGAATTGAGGGTGGCGTATAGCAGTGCTAAACTGCACCCATTCTCGTAAACCTCTAACCTGTGAGTCAGGCATCGCAGCGCAAAATCTTAAGAAGCTGGCTCAAAAACATTGAAATAGCTGCAGAAAATTATGGAGGCGTCGCTGCTCTAGGTCCGTTTTTCCGCTACGTTTTGAACACCGTCGTTCTTTTTTTTCGTGATTTCCTTCGGCTTCTTCCCTCAGTAGGCGATTTCCCAGGGCTGAATTTGCTACATGTTCCTCCAAAAAGCATGTTATTTATCAATTTCAGTCCTGAGAACGATAGCAGAGAATAGCGTGCCGTTGCCGAAGGGACTGGACTCATGCAAGGCGCTGAGGGGATTTCTTATCATGCTGAACAGAAGTGGCAAGTTACTACACGTGTCCGACAATGCCAGCGAATACCTTGGACATTCAATAGTAAGTTTTTGTAGCAAATTTTCAATTATTCAAGAGCTGATTGAGACACTGTACCCATATTCATGTGGGTGCGGGATGTGGGTATGAGTTGTCCCCAAAAGGAGAAGGGCGTGAAGAACACCTAGAATGATGCAACTACCACCATCTTCTAGCCGATATTTGGATACCTTTGGAAAATTTCACTGCCTTGCACTTTGTTGCCGGCTTTGGCTTTGGCAAAGGGTCTGAACAATCAGAAGTACTCGCTTGTCCACGATGCGTGGTGACATTTCAGAAAGACTGGAAACACAATTATTGAATAACTTAGGTCCATCGATGCTTTAAAGATTTCTTTTCAGGAGGAAATCATGTGCCAAGGCGATTCCATCTTCGATTTGGTTGATTCTCGTGACCATCCTACCATTCACAATGAGTTGAATAGTGGACCTCAACCGACCACCTCGTTTCCTGAAGAACGAGTCTTCCTCTGTCGTCTGAATCTGGCCAGAACTGCAAAACGTCAGCTACAGTATCACAAAGTGAGAGTGTGTCCTAGCGATTCTGATTAAGTCCTTTCGGTTGAAATGCCCATATGTTTGCTAAAAGTGAAGAATTTGTCGCATGCTCTTACAAAATTAATGTTTTCAGTTCATTCTCCTTCAAGGACGATATATTCATCCAGCGGAATCTTCCAAGCTATCGCTAACACTCCGGAAGCGGTGTGTCTTTTAAACTTACATGTATCTTCAAGCAGTTTCAAAGTTCACACCATGGTTGCTGCACGCGACTTCATGAGCTGGAACTCTTCGGCTGAACTCCCTTTCTGTAACGTACAGAAAAATGATCTACCCTTGTCAACTCAAAACAGGCAGATTGTCGATATCCGCTGTTTTCACTCTCATTCCAAAACATCACTGCTATACAAGCTTTCGACGCTAGTAGTGTCCCAATTTATTTATCTCTACTGTGCTATCCACTTCGATGAACGACTTACGACTCGGTTCCTGATACATCTGGAAGCAGCAGTAGAAACACTCTCCTCACACTCAAATCGTGCATTTGCAAATTCTTCGAAGTCTCAAATGAAGCAATAAAACAATGCTTGGAATTGATACGCCTCCCATATTGTCTGCTGCTTCGTATACAGGTCGGATTCATGCGCCATCTCCAAGAGAGTAAAGCTAGGCTTAAGTAAAGTCTGATTGTGGTTAGACCTTGGCGACAGTTATCGACATGTGTGCACTTCGTTGGAAGCGAACCTTTCGCTAGGATGAAATTAAACCTCGGATTTTTCCCTAACTGGACTGTCAAAACGAAAATTTGAAAATAATTCATATCGTTTTTTTTTTGGTTCCTTTCAAGGAGCTGATTACATTCTATTCTCAGCATCGTCCCTGCGTTAATCACTACGAAGGCATAATAGGAAAAAACGAGATGCATCCTTTGCCAAGTCCGCCAGTGTAGTTTCAGGCCAATATAGGCCGATGTCAGACTTTGCGAATCGCGCGATTCGCTAGCGTCTGCGGTCGCGTCGCGGCCAGTGAATCACTCAATTGGCTGGTACCGCAACGCGACCGCGGAACGCTGGCGAATCGCGCGATTCGCAAAGTCTGACATCGGCCTGAGCGCTTTAACTCTGTACTTTCGAAAAGGAGCCGAATAGGCGGCGCATTCCAATAGCGTTGACTAGCCTCATTTCTCTACAGTTCTTTCTGGTTTATGGTTTCTAAGTTTCGAAGTCATCATTACAGACTCAGCCGATATTCGCCGCTTATTGCCAGCCGGTGATCAATCCGGAAAATGCCGAAACGCTGTCCATGGGCAACACTGACGTGTTCAGCAGTCAGCATTTTCTCGACATGACATTCAAAGAAGTCGATCACATGTGAGTTCGGTCTCGGATAAGCGGTTTAATGCTTAGAGGGCGATCAAGTTCATTTTTGTAATTGACGCCATATTGTCATAAAATGTTATGACGTGCCACTGCTTGACGCCAACATGAATAAGCCGTAATTACTTCAATGAAATACTGCGAATTGACGGAAGCGGAAATAATCCGGAAAGTTTATGCTAAGGGCGCACTTCCCAAATCGTTTCGCCTACATATCCTAAAGAGTTCAAAGGCAGCGATTCCGCTGGCTGAGTAATGGGGCGGTTTCGATGACGTCATTGAGTGAAACTGGGGATAGGGCTTTATGAATAGTTTCCAACCGTACCCCGGTGAGGTCTGTGATTCACCACTAACGTTTACGTCATCAAAACTACTCCGCCCTCAAGCCGTCATGCCCACTGCCGTTACATGGCCGATAATATGTACAGAAACCTCGGTAAACCCTATCTTTCTGAGATAAAACATTTTCCAGGTGTGCCCATCATCTTGGATACCATCGGGAAGAGTTGCGAGGACAAAGTTGGTACACGCCTGCTTACATCAGCACACTGCTGAAAGTCGGCTTACAAACATAGACTATGTGAGTTTTTATCTAGCTCTTTTGTTTGTCAGACATAGACAGGGAAGGGTATCCGGATGCGCCATGCATTTGTCTTCCGTGTTACCACCATTCAGTTACCTATTTTTGGAAACCACGTTCCAAGCGAATATGTGACTCCAAATTTTCCCAGAAAACTACTTATTTGTCAAGCTGTAGTAAATCGTGGTGAGTACGGAGAGTGCTTTGGACATTGTCAGCAGTGGTTGTCTTGCAATCATAGCGGACGTAGCCATTCCTCTGGCCCAAGAAGACGCCTGTTTTCGTTCGGTACAGTAAAGTGAGACGGCTCTGAATGTTTAGTTTTGGCCTGGAACATTGTACAGTTTCCGTCACTGTCATGTCCACGCCACTGTTGGTCAGATCGCTCCCAAAATACTCTAGGTTCTCCGTCCTTCGGTCTCTTCCCCAATCACCTTAGCACCCGCTGTGAAGCTGAGGAACTTGGCATTCTTGACGTCCTATCGTAGCCAACCTTCCGATAACACTTCCTACCCTTTTGCACCTTGCCCTAAATCTTCTCTGCCATTAGCCATCAAGGCGGAGTCGTCTGCTTGGAGGATGGTCTTCTGTGATTGAGCATTTTTCCCACAACATCCAGGGTTAAAAGGAAGGATGACGGACTTAGAGCTGACCCGAATGTCCCCCAACCGTGATGTCCCCTCTTAATAGTCCGGGCGAAGTGCGTATAGCTGCTTTAGCCCCATCAAACCTATCCTTCACTAAGGTGATCAGGTGTCCGTAAAGTTTCGGCCTCTTGCACTGTCGAAGGTAGGCAGTTAAGCGCCTTCTTCAGGTCATGAAAGGCTAGATAACAGGATCGGCATTTCGCTTATACTTTTTACCGTCCTACAATCTCATGGTATGTGCTGACAGTTTGATCTCGCAGCAGTTGGATCCCACTTCTCACTTCGTCTTGAAGATGGAGACGATGGTACCTGTTCTCCATGCAACCGGGATCCTTCCTTCTGCGGTGACAGTGAGGAATCGGGTGAGCCAACCTCCACCGCACTCCCCGAAAGCCTTCCATGCCTATATCGGTATCCTTCTGTAGCAACTGCCGTTTTGACCATCCTCTTCGATCAGCCGTCGCCTCTGCTCGTGTGTTGTCCTTGTGGAGTAATTCCTCGTTAAGAAGCCCAGATGTTCACTCTCGACTCTTCTATGCTTTGTCTTCCACTTTACGGCTCCTTGGACTTCCTCTCTTCAGAACCATGCCGTCGACTTTAATTCCCTTTCTCCCCACGAGAATAGCATCAAGGTCTTCATATTACCAGAGACTACTCCACTATGTATTTCAGTATGTCAAGAGAAGGAAGGCTCAGTGCTGGCTCTTATCAAAATGCGGTCGTCTGATGGCGAATGGCTGTGGATGCACACGGTGTTTGCAGTTCGTGGTAACCTGTGTCATGAAGTCCAAGAAGGTCGACGAGTCCGACACGTCATTCACTGCTATTATCAGTCCTTGAGGTAGTAATTGTATGCTACTTTGAATTTTATCTTTTAATCTCTCCATTATTTCAGTGGGATAGAAGCGGCTGCTCTGCAAGCAAACGCTTGGATCTACAACATTCGTCACACGTATCCGGCCGCGTTTCCTTGTCAAGGCTCACCAACACCGGCTAGTTCACTTTTCCTCTTACTGAACGGGAACAGATCCCTAGCTAAGATCCGGGCAGTCAAAGCAACATAGTTGGCGCTTTCTTTGCTGAAAATGTTTTCTATTGGAGATCATCCTCATTTGACGTCAAGGGGCCCCTGAAAATAACAAGATTTTTGACGTCCTACCGTTCTACAGGATTTAGGATTAGGATTGAGAATTCGGCTTATGCTGGCTAATCATGGCTAGAATTTCGTAACATTTACACCAGCAATTTTCAAATGGAG